ATTCAAGCTAAGAATGACAAAAACCCTAAATCAGGGCAGCCGGGAGTCCCCATCACGGGCTGGCAGAGAACTTTCGGGGTGGGCAGTTGCATGAGACTGCATTGACTTTACAGCTGCGTTGTGTCAGCTCTGAGTCCTGGGACTTTGCCTAAAGACATTTAGTAGGTAGAGAAAGCAACTACTGCAATCCTGTGCCCCTGGGGCTGACCTAACCAGTAGTCATTCATTCCCAGAAAGTTTGGGAAAGTCTTATACGATCCCCATAAGTGCCAGGTGAGCAGTACTTTCCTGGAGGCTGACTTTCCCGCAGGGCTCCAGCCAGCTCTTTGGTTGTACCTGCTCATAGCTGCTTTATTTGTTCTTCTAGCAGCCTTTGGTGATTTATTTTCATGCTGAATATAATCACAAAGGTAAACTGAGCTGCGCTGATTTTTTCCTAGAAAATTCACACTGGTAGTTCTCTGGTTCTTTATAAGAAGGACATCACAAGGCAACTCCTGTGCTCGCCCTGCTCGTTTAGATATTTCAGGTCAGGAGAGCTCAGGTGTTTGTGTATGGGATGTTCTGTGGTGGGGGGAGTGTGGGAGGAGACGCAGGAACCGTGCTGGGGGCTACTGGTGTTGCCAATGACTCACCAGCCATCTTCCATCCTAGTTTGAATCCCAGCATCAGTAAGTCTGATATGTAAAATACCACCAGGCAGGAGTTTCCCTTTGAAGGACGTTCTTTCTGATGCTCAGGGTTGCTGCAGTGATGGTGCTGACCCACCGAGAGGGCTGGTGAATATTAGAAGAGGGACGGATCCGTTCTTTCTGTTGTGTTGCACTGCGGTGGGCACCGTGCACCATCCGCTGGGACTCCTCAGCTCTGGCTCTGCAAGTGACTGAGTGCGCATTTCCCAGCCTGTGCTGTGTCAGCGTTAACGTGTCCTACCTCCAGATGACTGTGTCCTGTAAAGTCTTACTGTTGATCAAATTATGCCAGGCCTGAAATCATCCCCTGCTCTCCCCCCTGGCTTTTTAAAACAGGGCTAGGTTAACGTGGAGGGCTTTTTGCATAGGGATGTAAGAATGAGGGTACCAAATAGACCAAATGATGCTCAGCCCAGCACCCTGCTCCCAATAGTGGCCGGTAGCACGCGTCCTGAGAAAGAGCAAAAGTGGAAGTTATAGGTTATATACCCAATGCTCTCTAAGCCAAAAGTTGCACCATTGTTTTTAATAGCCCTTGATGGCCCTTTCTGCTGTGAACAGTCCAGTCTCCTCTCAAACTCTTTTTATTGCTTTCAGCCCTCACCACCGCCTCTGCCCGTGAGCTCAGCGGCTGCCGCGGTGTGGGAAAAGGTGCTGCCTGCCCTTACGCATGCTGTCTAATCATTTCACTGGCTTCCCCTGAGTATTTCATTATAAGAAACAGTGATTCATCGTTCTCCATATGAGGGCTGTGTACCAGTCGTGATTGTACGTACCTCTATGATACCTCGTACTAAAGATTATCTTTTTTTGCCTCTCCAGTGGTTCACAGGCAGAAAATAAACCTGTAGCATCTTTGAAACAATACTGACAGTACAAGAACAGATTGTGGGATAATCCCAGAGAGAGTTACTGAACAGCAACTCTCTGTATGTCCTTACCGCAGCAAAGGGATTCAAGTAAAGCTGTTTTAAACATCCTATTTTGGTAATGTGGTAAAATGCCTGTATTGATTGAAATGGCAAAGCAGAGAAGAAAGACCCGTGGGGGGAAGAGTGGGACTGAGATGCATTAGCAGCATTGCTGCGGGAAAACATTGTCCTCAAGACATCTCAAATTCACATTTCCAGTCTGCCTGAGCGCATTTAGAGAGAAACACATTTCCTCAACCACACACCAAGTGCGAGACGTTCGGCGTGAGCTCCTTTGAGGAAACCATCTGTGTTCACCAGCCAAAGCAGAGTCTGCTCCCGATTCCTCGATGGACCAGGAGTCCCTTGAATGCCTATCAAAGAGCCTGCCATCAGAAACAAGGAGCTTGCGTGGCCTGGAAGACCCTCAGATGTCTTCTCAGCCCTAAATACAAAGGATGTTTTATCAGCTAGGAGGGGAAAAAAGCCACTTTCCCAAATGCTGAGGTTTCACCTCACTGGGAGCCAGCGTGAGTCACCCAGGCACTGCTGCGTTGCACAGACCTGTTCAGGTTAATAAAATCACTGCTGGATCCCGAGCGGCTCACGGGATGCTGTGTGGCTTTCACATTGACGTCACTGCTTCTCATTTACCCTTGGGTGATAGTGACCGAAATTCATTACTACCTGGCAGCCGTCGGGTAAGCCGTGCAAAATAAATCAGCGTTCTCCACAGCAAACAGGTGTCTGCAGCACAAAAGGAGCCATTCAGACCAGCAGGGCAGGAAGGGAGTTTTCATCAGAGGAGAGAAGACATGAATGAGTCGTTAGAGTGAGGGGAATTCGCAGGCAAAGAGCGATAACGGCAGAGGCAGGGGGAGTTTCGCTATAGAAACAGCGGAGAAGCGGTTGGAGCATGGGGAATCGGGAGAGAGCGACCGGAGACAAAGAGGAGTTAAAGTGAGCAATTCAACTTTATTATAGGAAAACAGGAACACTGAATGAAACTGGAAAATACATTTAAAAGTGTAAAGAGGAGGTGACCTTGCCACAGTGTGTCTTGGTGGTGGGGAGCTCTGTGGGGCTGGAGAAAGGCATGGGCATCTGCATCAGGAGGGGAAGGCACAGGCACATGGAGGAGAACACACAGCCCCGGGTATTTCTGCCTCCATGGAGGGTACGGAGACTTTCAGGGTAGGACCCAGGCAACAGCTCATGAGCTGAGTAAAAAAAATAAAATAATTCTCCTCTGGGATACTTTAAACTGTGAATTTCATGCACCTTTGATTGCATCGTTTGATCCTGGCCATTTTCAGAGCCAGGCCACCACATGGGACAGAGCTGGTCTGGCATCTCCGTGGTCCTTCCGCTGCGGTATATTCAGGGCTGGATTAGACACACTGGTCAGGGCAATGCAGGGGAGTTTCAGTATTGTGTCACGTCTGGTCTGGAGGTGGAGGACATGTGTTTCCAGGACATGGAGTCAGTGGGCATTCAGAGCAAGCTTTTAATGCTCCTCAGACTGGTACATTTTGCCAGCCCTAAAAATATGCCTTGAAAGAGGAAATAAAATCTTCACAGGCTTTTCTCCACAGCTACGAAAAGATCAAGCAGTACGCTCCTATATCACCTGCAAAAATGCAGATGTTCTCATCTCCCAGCACACATAAAAGCCATTTCTCACCCAAAGTAAATCTGGGTAGTTGTAATTTCTTTCTCGTTCACACAAAAAGAGAATACAAATTGCGGGTGGCACTGCCTGTTAAGGAGGAATCTTTTGTTTTCCAGGCAGATCATTAGTAACATAAAATGTTATTGTGCCATCATTACAAAGGTGGGAGTCCTGTAGGGTTGAATGGCTATTTTTCCTCTCTATTTTTTTTTTTTTTTGTGTGTGTGTGAGCAAAAGGCTCCCTGGAAGGCAGGAGGATATTATTTGAAACTTAGATTTCCCAGAACATCATTCCCTTGTTCAGTAATAAAAAAAAAAAAAAAAGAAAAAAGAAAAAAGACCCCAGTCATCAAAAGCCTGAATTCCATTTAACACAAAATCCTTTCCCGGGAAGGCTGCTGCATTGGTTCCGGGGCTCACTGAGAGTAGAGCCCTGCTGCGCCGGGCGCAGGCACACGACTACCCGGGGCATGGGCTCTCCTGGCGGCAGGAGACGGTGTGCCTCCCCCCACGCTTGGCCCAGGGAAGGGGCCGATCTCTACTTTCATTCCAGCCCTTTGGATCTTTGTCGGTTTGGGTTTGGTTTTTTTTCTCCCACCTGTTGCCTGTTCTGATGTTTTTTCACTTAGATCTTTGGCAGAAAGGTTTCCTTTCTTTACAAATACAGATCCAGTGCTCAGCACAAGAGAATTCTCAAGCTTTAGTAGGGCCTTTCGACGCTGACATAATAAAAATACACAATTTATTTATCAAAGCCTCCTTTAAAGGAGATGATGGAAGAAATAGGTTTTAACCTACTTCTGATCCTCAGGAAAAGCAAGCACTTTGATTCTCTCCTTCCCAGACAAATAGCATTGCATTAGTTGATTCTGATTTTATTAGCTATAAAACATTTTCTATTTTTATTTTCACATGCCATTGACTTTGTTTGGTACAGACACAGCTGAACAAGGGCTGGTTTTTCAAGTGCAAATCATGTTAATAGATGCCCAGTTCTTTCCACTCCACCCGCAGGAACATAGCTGTAAGAAAGAGAGCTGATGCCCAAAGAATATTTTCCAATTGCATTTCCTAAATCACTTCCGAGGCCACATTATCCCTTCTGAATTCCCAAATGCGGGGCTGTGATGGTTGCTTTAGTACTTCTGGCACTGTCTCTTCACATCAGGAGAATTTATTTGCATGAAGGAGTGAAACAATACGATCAGACAATGAAATCTCAAGTGGTAAAGTGTGTGAAATTCTCCGCTGCTGTTACTTTTTATGACACTTTTTCCAGCATTTCTCCACTGCTTGCAACTACAACCGACGGATTGGGAGCAGTGCTGCTTCTCACTGCTCTTTATCAGCAGAGGGTGAGCAGCAGCAAGCAGTCAAATCGTTGCTGTATCCAAACAGCATCTCTGCATCCGGAGATGGAGCTGCGGGCAGAGCTCACTTGTTGGGAAGTTGATCTACCTAATTATGTGACTGTTGACTGGGCAACAGGTCACATACCTTCTTGTCCCCAGTAAAAATCATTTGTCTTAAAACTTGATCTGAGTTAAAATACGTCATCTTTTTTTTTCATGTTATTTGCTTCTTTCCCTGTCTCTGTATTTTTGAACTGGTGGTGGGAGTGATTAGAAGAAAGTTTTTTTCCATCATTAAAATATCTGGTTCAGAAAGACCTCTAAAGAGTCATTAAATGCAGATGAGGGTATGAGGTGCACTTCCTGAGCAGAATTACAAGGAAGTGTTCTCATTGGAGACAGTGTTGAGAGGTGGATGCTGGCAGGAGTTCAAGCCTCCACACTTGTTCTTATGGCCATGACTTGCCTGACATCTCCTGCCCATGGCGGGGGTGGCGGAGGGTCCTTTCCTTGAAGGCTCTGTTGAACTCCGGTAAGAGAGCAGCTCCGGGACTGAGGAACGGGTTGTCCCTTCGGACAGGGAGAAATTAAAGAGGGAGACCATTCTTTGGTGGTACTTGCTCTTCATTTCCTTGGCTGACCTGTAGAGGTTCCCAACAAAGCAATAGCATATAGGGTTGAGGCTGGAATTGGTGAGGCCAAGCCACTGGGCAAAAGGTCTGAGCTGCAGGATCCAAGGAGAAGGAGTCACATCCTGCAAAGATTTGGGGATGTTGAAATCTATCCAGATGTCCATCAGGTAGACGGGCAGCCAGGAGATTGCGAACAGCAGGACCAGGGCCACCACCATCTGCGCTACCTTCTTGCGGATCTTCAGCTTGGAGGCTGGCAGAGATCGGTTCAGGGCAGTGCTCTCCTTCAGCTGGCTGCTGCGGCTCCACAGCCTGCGCACCGTGAGGAAGCAGATGACCATGTTGAACAGGACTGGCAGGCAGTAGAGGGCACAGAAGAGCAGAAAGTTGTAGGCTTGCTTGAGTCTCTCCTGAGGCCAAATCTCCCTGCAGATGGAAAACACCAGAGGCAAGCCCTCCACCACCCCAATCTCATCCCGTTTGTTCATGAAGATGAGGGGCATGCATATTCCTGAGGAAAACAACCACACCACCAGGATGGTGCTGAGGATCCTTTTCTGGGTGAAGAAAGACCGGGCGTTGAGTGGGTTGTGCACGCTGTAGTACCGGTTCACACTGATGACGGTCAGGCTGAGGACGCTGGCAGAGACAGAAACAGCCTGGATGAAGGGCACCGCCCGGCAGAGAAAGTCCCCGTACACCCAGGCTTTGTAGATGAGGTTGCCCACAGTGATGGGCATGCAGACGCACACCACCATGAGGTCACACACTGCCAGGTTGATGAGGAGGCTGCGGGTGGCACTCAGGCTGGACACTCGACTCCGGCGCTTCCTAGTGAGCACCCTGATGGACATGATGTTGCCCACGAAGCCCACCACAAAGGACACCAGGTACATCGCTGTGAGGCTGATGGTGACGGGCTCCTTCGCAAAGAGGAAGAGCATCTTCTCCAGCTCTTCCCAGCCCAGCTCCTGGCTCCCGTTCCAGAGCC